TGGCTGCTTGGCCTCCCTCCTGCTGAGGGGCCCTGTGGTCAGTTTTACGCATCACTGTCGCCTCTTAGACCTCTTTGCACTATAGTTAGGATTTCCCTCCTCGCTCTGCTCCCCCAAGCTGTGCCTCTGTGCTCTTAGGAAATGCCAAGGGGAATTATACAACTTGAACTAGTTTGCCATGCTGCTGGGACACTCGTCTGTTACTGATTTCTTCTCTTTTTTATTAAAAGCATGTCCATGTCCCTTGCTCAGAAACCTCTGCGTGTATGGGCACAATTACCAAAATGCCGAGTCATCGGCATCCCACCTATTGAGGAATGTCGGGCTCCGGGACAGGAAAACATTGATCTTGCACAACACTCGGATGAGCTGAGACTTCCTTTGTCATGAAATGAGGGCTCTTTTTCCTTTTAAAAGTTACTTTTATAGACCCGATCTTCGTAAGATGGTTGTATCTTTCGGTGCTGGGAATCCTTTGGGATTTTATGAATAAACCTTCAATAGCATTGTTTTTACTTAAAAAAAAAAAAAAGCCATGTTTCTCATCCCAGCATAACAGTAATGTTGCTTATGTTTGAGATGCAGGTCCCTGTGAGTGCCAACAGGGTAACATGCCTGTGCTGGGTGTCAGTGAGGAGGAGAGCTTTGGGGGGATGTAGTAGCTGTTGCCCCTGTTTCCAGCAGTGAATAAAGTGGTTCAGGCAGAACCTTCTATGGGTGGAAGTTGTTGAGTAGCTAACACAGGGCTGTGTTTCCCTGTCATCTTCCTTGAATGGATCGTGAATTGAGACAGAGAGATGGAGGGTGTGGGACAGCAGATGGGGCAGGGGGCTGTGAAGCCCATGCCGGACCAGGCAAAGGGAGGACTGTCAAGGAGCTGTGGTTATTTCTCAGGGTAACTGAAGCCACAGGCCCTGCTCACACTTCGTCCCCTTGTTCCAAACTGAACTGAGGACAAGGCCCACCAGGTCCGGGTATGGTTTTCCAGGTTCCACTCACATGCCAAAGAAGCTGCTCTCCTGCAGGACTCCCTACCTTTACCAGAACAACTAGCCCCAAGGAGGCACCATCGACTGACTTAGCCAGCCACCACCTTAGAACAGCAGAGATGAATCTAGCCAAGCCAGAACTCATCAGTTTATTTTCAAGGGATCAGGACCAGAAATGAAAATACATATTTTCCTGCCCAATACTACTGCTTTTTACAATCACCTTGGTGCTTCACTCATTCTCCATGGCACCATCACTGTCCCTCTCAGTCCTTGGTCATTCTAGAGGAGGCTCTGGTCCTCTAGTGCCCAGTGGGTAAGTAGACCTGACTCCAGCACTCCTGTTTCACAAGCTCTTATTAGACAGACAGACAAACAGAAAGTTCTAATGTTCCCCGTTGCCTTTCTCTCAAGCTACGGGACCAGCGCCTGAGGCTTCTCGGTGCACTTTGATTCTTGTTGCACATGATCTCACTCTGCAAGCTGCCCACGCCTAGCTTCTTGGAAATGTCAGCTTTTTCATAATGACTTAAGGTTGCAGAAGAAAGTTTTTCTGATTCTAGGATAATCTGAGAGCTCTGAAACCTTCTTCAAAACAAAATTTAGATTTTAAATTTAAAAATTCTGTAAGGGACTCTTAAGCACGGATTCATTTATTCTACTCATTTTTATTGAGCACCTACTCGAGGCCAGGCACTGTGCTAGGTACTGGCTGGATAATGATGACCAGAAGACAAGGGCACTGCCCTCGTGGAATTTAGAGTTAAATTGAGTAGACGTAACAAAGAAGTATAAATGTGTCATTAAAACTTGTGAAAATGCTTTGAAGGAATGAACAGAGGGCAGTGATAGAGGAAAACGGGACCTTCTTGGGGTGGCCAGACCAGGTCTTCGGAGAAGGTGGTGTTTCAGCTAAGGCCTAATGACAGAAGAGAGAGGGGTCGGGCGAGGGG